TTCTATTGCGCTCATCTTTTGGCACCACCCAGGGGAGACTTGGTCCTGTACCCAATGCTTAACTTATCTCCATTCCACTCAGCTACTCGCAATTTCTTGTGATATAGTGGGCGGAATATTATTATATGAGACAATTCAATGCAGACGTCTTTCCAAATTTGGCAGATCGACAGGTAATCGGTGAGTAACCACGATAGTTGCTATTCAACAACTCGACAACGTCCCATCGTCAACGCCTGCTATGAGAATTTCCCATAGCAGACGCCAACGAAATGACGTCATCGAGCTATCGATCAACTACCCTGGTTATCGCCTGGTACCTTATAGCACGATGCTAGGAGGCGAACCGGAAGAATCGATGAGCTACCTCCCCCGGTATATATTGTAAAATGCATTCCATAAAGAAACTTGTGAAATTTTTTTACAGTGCTGACTACTGCCAACGCTTCTAAGTGCAGGATAGGGTAGTTTTTCTGGGCATTATTCAACGAAAACGATGTGAAACTTATTGGTTTCTCCTCATCTTCTATCAAATGAGCTATCACTCCTCCCAAACCATAGCTGCAGGCATCTGTTACCACCAAAATTGGTTTAATTGGATCAAAATATTCCAGAAGGTTTGGCTTCAAAAGAAATCTTTTACAGTCATCAAAAACCTTCTCACAATCTTTAGACCATAAATATGTCACGTTTTTCTTTAAAAGACCGTAAAGGCAACTAATATGAGTGGACAAATTGGGTATACATTTGGAATAGTATGTTACTAGACCCAAAAATGCCTTCAGTTCAGAAACGTTTCGTGGAGCTTTCGCTTCACGAATGGTTTTTACTTTATCAGGACAGGGAAGCAATCCCTTGTCTGTTAAGACATGTCCTATATAAGGCAATTGCTTTACAAAAAATTTGCATTTCTTCAAATTTACTTTTATGTTGGCTTTGGCTAGCCTGTCCAAAACCAAAAAAAGTTTCCTTTCGCAATCTTTAAAATCCTTTCCCGCAATTAGTACATCATCTAAATAGCATGAAATGTTTTTCAAACCATGAAGCACTTGATCCATAACCTTCTGAAATATGGCTGCACTTGATGATGCCCCCTGGGGTAGCCTGTTGTATGTATAAAGACCCTTTATGGTGTTTATTACCATAAACTTCTTTGAACGTTCCGTTAAAAGAAGTTGGGTATAAGCTCCTTCAAGGTCCAACGCGCAAAAAACTGTAGGTCCAGAAAGTGTGGCAAACAGATCCTGCGCCAAAGGCAAAGGATACCTATTTGGAATCAATACTTTATTAATGGAGACTTTACAATCTATCACCAGGCGAATACTAAAGTCCCTTTTAACCACAGCTATAACCGGTGAAGCCCATTCACTAGCTTCGATCGGCGTGATGACTCCCTCTTTCTCAAGCATATCTAAATAATTAATCACCTGTTGACGCAAACGCAATGGTACTTCATATGCCTTTTTAAAAATCGGTGTATCTTCCTTCAAGATTAAATCTCCCTTATAACCTACTATTGGACTAGAAAAATCTTTGGTAAAAATTGTCGGAAACTTACTCTTTACTTCATCAACAATTTTGTCTTCTGCAGCCAGATCAATGTTCCCAACAGTCAATGGCGGACTGGCAAAAGTGTTTCTCCAGCCGGAATAAAATACGTCCAACCAAGAGCGGCCCATGAGCGGGGTGAAATCATTCTCACAGCGTAAAACAACCATACTGAGTTGTTTCTTATCCTCAGCAAACTGCACCTCTGTAGTGGACTTACCAAGAACCGTTAGTTTATTTCCATCTATTACAACCAGCTTTTTATTGCAATGTTGCAATTCACAATTCACAAAGCTTCTAATAAATAGCTCTTCAGAAATAACGCTCTCAGATGATCCGCAGTCAATCTCCATGGTTAAACGTCTTTTGTTTATCAAAACCTCAACATAACAGGGCTCATTAATCTTGTTAACAGAGCTAATCATAAGGCAAGGCATATCGTCGTCATCAGAATCGGAATTAATATCCTTTTTCAATCTTTTGAAAACTCCTGAATCTTTGGAAGACAACGAAGATGGTTTTGCAGAATCTATAAATTTAACAGTTGATTGAAATTTACGAGGGCTTTTCCCATGCAAACGGTAACAAAATTTTCTCGTATGGCCTGTCTTCTTGCAAAAGGAACAAAGGTAGAGTGGTTTGGCAGAATTTCCAGCTCTTCTGCTATTAAATCGACCGTTGCTTCTACTTCTAGATGAAAAGGATCGGTTTCTATCGAAACTATGACTCCTGCTTCTATATCTTCGTCTAGACCGCGAATTGTCTGATCGGTTACCTAGTCTCGCTACAACACTGACACGCTTTTCATCATCATTCTTAAGAAGCTTTGTCCTGCTAGCAGAAATCTCCGAGTTGAGAATCAACCTTTCAGCCTTAGCAGCTGATAAATCATCTTCGTCGCACAACCTCTTTTGCAACTGAGCATCGTAAACTCCAATAACTAACATGTCTCTAATGGCTCTATCTTTGAATTCCCCAAAATCACACCTCTCTGCTAATTTTTTCACGCAGATTACAAAATCTTCCAACGACTCATTCCTTATTTGTCTCCTAGTCCAAAATTTGAAACTATGAACTACTTCAGAATCATTCTTATCATAGCGCTTCTTTAATTCGTCTGTCATTTGTTTATAACTCAATTCATTAAAATCCTTTCCCGGGAATAATCTTTTCAGTTCTGTGAAAACTTCTTTCCCACATACTGCCAAAAATGAGGTTTTATAACGTTCCTCCGGAAAGTCATTATGCTTGAAAATCCATTCAAGCTGCTCTTTATATTGTGTAAATGGCATAGAGTATGGTACAAACGGGTCTGCAATTGATGTTAACGTCATCCTTTTAAATAAAATAAATACCAAAAAAAGGACAAAAAAAATAAACAAAATCACTATTGGATTCAAAAACAAATTTAAAAAAAAATCAATTGAATTATGCCTCAAAATCAAAATCTCCCAGAAAAAAGTAAACAAAACCACGTACCTGATTTACGATGGACCAGACGATGAACAAACCAGTCAAATATAAAAATGACAGCAGTCCGAGCGGATAGAAATCAGCACCAAAATAAGCAATACACTACAGCTTCAGCGCAAAACCGTGAACGGTACCAGCAACAACAGCAGCCACCTTTCAGTAGCAGCAACAGCAATCACACAGTCCACAGTCAACTTCACCAGCAGCCTCACCAGCAATTATACGGGTCGGTTTTCAGGGTCGATCAATTCAATCAGATGTAGTTTTCTTCACTCACACCGTAACTCTGTGTCGCGGTTGCTGGTAGTAGCTGTATTAGCTCGACTTTTCGACTCTGACACGCACACCGTTTTACATGAACGTCAAACTTTTCTCTTTTGCGTTCCCGGTCACTGGATGCGTGGAGTGCGAAACCCAAGATTTCTTTTTTTTTCTGGGCGGGAAAAAAAAATATGGTGTTTGTGTGATTCGTATATAATGCTGTAAAGTATTTGGAAAACAAAAATGTGTTGGTAGATGTTCGTCGACAAAAAATTAAACCACTTTTTTTTTGTGTTATGACAAAATGGTCGTTCTCTATAACGTTTTACCAAACGTATTCACTTTTCAGCGTTTTACTTAAACACAAAAGAATGAGTCCGGTTATTGTTCTGGATGAAAATGGATAATTTCTAACAATAAACCTCAGAACAATGACCAACCAAATGCGAAATTTTAACAAAAGCACTTCACAAAGAGTAAAAAAAAATGGATTACTTACGCCGTGCTCCTACTTAGGAAAAATAAATTTACGAAATATCAGCAAATGCACGCTATCACTCGGGAAACTCAGCAAAATGTAGCAAGTTGATAAAAAAAAAATTATCCTTGTCGCCACTGTAATGACCTTCAAACAGAACTAATAAAATAAGATGACTTCTTAAGATCGGGTAGTAATAAAAATAGGTGTTGTTCGGTTGCATGTCTAAACACTTCTGATCACGATTTATTTCGCCTGTTCGTTACATGCTGAACTTCTCCTAAATTCCCTTTCCTCTCTTAAGTTCTCTCAGAGCGAGTTCTCAATAACTGACTACTACACCCAGCAGCCAGGTCTTCAGCGAGGTTGATTTGTTGTACATGGTTTCCTCGTTTACGCCGACCGCCGTCAGAATGCAATCCACCTTCTGCAGCGAATCATCATGGGTAAACTCTGGTTCGTTGCAGCTGGCATAGAGGCGTTTTATTCGTTGGTAAAAGGAATCCTTATCGAGCACGATATTTGACATTTTCGGTGGCGTTTCGATTGCAAACCTAAACATTCAAACTGTCAGAAATACCGGGTTGCCAAATACACCATACTATTCGCATTTAAAAAAAAATCGCTGCTTGCTCTATGCCCGGCACTGCCGGCACAATCGGTACACCAGCGGTACACTTGCGGCACATTGGATTGATGTCTGGAGTGACCTACCGCTTGGTTTGCAGTCACCTTCAAATGATTTTAAAACATCGTCCATAGAACACTGTCGCCATCTGTTGGCCACGCCATGGAAAAAGAACAGAAAGGTTGATACCCACATTTAGGACCTTAGGGTAAACCCGATACTGACCACATGTCCAGTTCAAATTTCACAAAAATAATCCTATCTCAGTTGTGTATGGACCAATTTAAGATCTTCAACATGCAGTAGACTACTAATTGACCCTAAAATTTGAGAAAAATACACAATTTCAAATTTTCATCATACAACCCAAAAATATCAATGGCAGATCCGAAACATCTCCAGCATCCGGTAGCCACTGCAATGTTTGGTCTTAAGTAATTTCCCCGTCGAATGCTTCCAGGTTCATCGATATCGATTAATTACCCATGGAACTGTGGCCCTTTAAAGTTGGACAAAATGTTGCTAGCCCCGATTATTTTGTCCAACTCCTGTGTGCTGATGGAAGCCATCCAATAACTAATAAAAAAAATCCAAACCTTCTCTCCTCTCCAGACGTTCCCATCTGCACCTCGGACAAGATCATCAGCCTGGGCGTATCGGTCGGCGAGACGGTGATAGTTAGTTGTAACATAGTGGCCCACCCGAATGCATCCCGCTTCAACTGGCGGTTCGAAAACTCCGAAGAAGTGATCGAAATCGACCCGGCCCGGTTCACGAACAACGGCAGCAGCAGTCATCTGCAGTACACTCCCGAGTCGGAACGCGACTACGGAACGCTTTCGTGCTGGGGTACGAATGAAATCGGCACGATGGCAGAACCGTGCGTCTTTCAGCTGATAACCGCTGGCCTGCCGACGCCGGTGATCAACTGCGACTGGTCCAACAGCAGTGCCAAAGTGGACGTCAACTGCCACCCCGGATACGATGGGGGACTCCGGCAGAAATTTGTGCTGGAAGTGATGTCCAACCGCAATCCTGGGTTTGGGTAAGTTGCAGGATTTCGCCTGGATGGGAAATGTTGAGTTCTAGCTTGAATTTCTATTGCTTCCAGCTTCAACCTGACCAACTCGGAGGAACCCACCTTCTCCGTGACGTTCACATCACTGAGGGAACAGCTGCCAAATGTGCACCAGCCGGATTCGCTCAAACTGTTCGCCTACGCAGTCAACCAGAAGGGACGCAGCCCGGGAGTGTTCATCACCGATCTGTTCATACCGGCCGTCGAGGAGCAGGAACAGACCGATGGCAAGAAGTCCACACTGCTGACACCGATCCTGATCGGACTGCTCCTGACCATCGTGCTCATCATAGTCGTTATAGTTGTAAGAATTTATCTGAAATCGAAAAGACTTAAGCAAACTATTGATAAGGAGAAACGCTACACGGAGGAATCCAAGAACACGCTGCTGTTGATGGATCAACCGAAGGTGATTGTTAGACTGCGTTGATGAAGCAGTTTCGATATTGATGAGAACTTGTATTGTTTCAGAAGGAGAAATCTCAAAAGGCTTCCAAGTGGAAAAATAGCATGGGTAATAGCATAAAAACTAGGAATAAGATCGAAACTATCGATGACGAGCAGGATCCCGACCTAATACCGGTAATTTCCCAAACAGTTTCGAACTACCAGCGAATGTCTAACCCGTAATTCATTTCTTCCAGTACCCCCGTCTCACCGACATCCAGCAGGAGGAGCTGATCCCGATGAATTCGGACGTTTCGTTCAAACCGAAAACGGTCCGGCTGCCGCCACCGGTGACAGTAATGGCCACGTCTTCGTCGACGGCAACGACCACCATTGTGAGCTTCAAGGACGAAGACATCTCCGAGGCGGAAATAAACCTGAAAGGAATTGAGGACTTTCTGATGACAAACCACGTACCGGAGAGCTGTGTGTGATATCGACAACCAGTAGTGCGATCGAAAACCTACCAGACGACGACCACGCTGCAGATGCAGAGCGAAGCAATTCCCAACCATATTCCATCATCGATGTTCCCAAAGTTTGCAGACAGCGCAGCCGAACGAACCGAGCGATAGTTTTTTCTACAATTGCCCCACAATTTTTTTGTGTTTAGCCAGTAAGTTTTGAATGTGCTTAAGTGCTGTGGACGTTACAAATAATACAAAGCAAAATTTTAGGGTACGCATCAACGTTTCTATTCCTTTCGCCAATGAAAGTGAATGCGAACAGGAGTGTAAGATAAAATAAAGTAAGTTGAGTGGCAAACGAACGAAGAATACAGACAATGGAAACAATAATTTAAACGAAATGCAAAACGTTAGATACGTCATCAAAGTGTGGAAGAGAAAACAAATGCAAAACAAAACGATACTAGCAAAATTAGATAAAGGTTATAAATAAAAATCTGTATTCAATATGGAAGTGTACCTAAAAGATGTATTATTGTAATATTATTGCTATTGAAAGTATTATTGAATGAAAACAAGGATTGTTTGTACAATAAAGAGATTTTATAATAAAAACACTTGCAGTTTAACTTAAGGACTGTCCATATCCCACGTAGACAGTTCAGGAGAGGAGGGAGGGGCCATGAGTAACCAGCTTCGAAAAACTGAATGTTTTTTTTTTCTTTCAAAACTAGCTGGGCACAGAAATATTGATCCAAGATATACCAAGAGCTTTAGAAAATATTCAAAATATTCAGAAAAAGTATCAAACTTCCGGCACTACAAGAAGGCTTCAACGACTACAGGAAGTCCAGAACTTTGAGGAAGTTTAAAAATATTTAGGCAGTTCCATAAACACCAAGAACATTTCGTGAACTTGATGTACTATAGATTGGAGAACTTCATGACAGTTCCAATAACTTCAAGAACATTTTAGGATCTTTACAGGAACTTCAAGAAAACTTCTGGTTTAAAGATCTTAAAACTTCAGGGCCGTTCCACGAACATCCGAAAAATTGTGTAAACTTTAGGAAAATATCGAGGAAAATATCTAAAACTTCAGAATTTCACGGCCGCTCGATTAATTAAACAAAAGTACTTAAGACTTCCGAACTTTACAGATGTTCCAAGTACCAGCCAAATGTAACCTGCCAGCCTGACGAGCTTTCTTCTTAAAGAAGGATGGCTTAAGCGCCACTCATAACGGATACCATCCAACAGTTTCCCGAAGTTTCGGGTAGGAAGCTGACTGGCTGACTAAAACACGTGCGGCGTACTTCACGCAAGACGAGCGAGAAATCGCTAATTCCTATACACGTGAACAGGTATTATCATCATAGGCCTTGCCTTACTCGTCCCCGTTTGAACTGAAACCACAGAGAACAGACATCCAGGTCCAATTCAAATAGTGTGTAAGAAATTTAACTGCTATTTTGAATAGACATTTGAAACTAGCAATATCGTGGTGGCGCGAACACTGGCGCGGTAACCTTCATCAAACCGGCATCTGTTCTCCATGTTAGGAGCGGTGATCACCGTCGTAGTGCCAGCGTGGGACTATAAACAGAGCTGTGCACGATGGTCCCCCGGCGAGACAGGAGGTTGGGGCAGGCCCAACAAGCCGCCCTGAAAAAAACAAAGTTGCAAACACTGATGAAAGAAATACGGATCGGAACAATCAGAACAGACCTATGCGACGAAATAAGGAATACGTTTGAAATCTCGGAACATGGAACTGCAAATCACTCGGCTTTCCGGGCTGTGATAGGTTAATCTAGGACGAACTTCAATCACTCAACTTCGAAGTCGTAGCACTGCAGGAACTTTGCTGAATGGGACAAAAGGTATGGAAAAGCGGGCATCGAGCGGCTACTTTCTACCAAAGTTGTGGCACCACCAACGAGCTGGGAACTGGCTTTGTAGTGCTGGGTAAGATGCGCCAACGCATGATTGGTTGGCAGCCGATCAACGCGAGGATGTGCAAGTTGAGGATTAAGGGCCGTTTCTTCAACTACAGTATCATCAACGTGCACTGCCCACACGAAGGGAGACCCGACGACGAGAAAGAAGCGTTCTATGCGCGGCTAGAGCAGGTGTACAACGGCTGTTCGCAACGGGACGTCAAAATCGTCTTTGGCGACATGAACGCTCTGGTAACAGGCAATCGGGCCAACAATGCGTGAACTTTGCAGAAAACCAAATAAATCACGTTCTAATCGACGGGAAATTTTTCTCCGACATTATCAACGTCTGCACGTACCGCAGTGCGAACATAGTTTCGAACCACTACCTAGTTACAGTATGCATGCGCTCAAAAACTCTCGACGGTGCATAACACCCGTCGAAGACGAACGCCGTGACCCAACATTGAGCAACTACGGGACACTGGAGTTGCCCAGGACTACGCGCAGCAGCTGGAAGTTGCACTACCCACGGAAGAGCAGCTTGGTGCAGCTTCTCTTGGAGATGGCTGAAGGGACATCCGTTCCGCCATAGGTAGTACTGCTGCAGCGGTACTAGGTACTGCGATCCCGGACCGAAGAAATGACTGGTTTGACGGTGGATGCAAACTGTTAGTAGAGGAGAAGAATGCAGCACGGGCGAGAATACTGCAACACCGCACGAGATTGAATGTGGAGCGATACAGACAAGCGCGGAACAGACAAAACTCGGGTTTTCGAAGGAAGAAGCGTCAGCAGGAAGGCCGAGATCACGAGACGATGGAAAATCTGTACCACGTAAACGGTGCACAAAAGTTCTACGAGAAGCTAAATAGTTCGTGCAAAGGCTACGGCAGGTTCTGCAGAAATGCCGCGAATACAACGTGCCCACACATCATTTGTTCATCGTTTCAAATCCGCATACGACACAATCGATCGAGATCAGCTATGGCAGATTATGCACGAGTACGGATTTCCGGATAAACTGACGCGATTGTTCAAGGCGACGATGGATCGAGTGATGTGCGTTGTTCGAGTATCGGGGACACTCTCGAGTCCCTTTGAATCTCGAAGGGGGTTACGGCAAGGTGATGGACTTTCTTGTCTGCTATTCAACATCGCGTTAGAAGGTGTGATCAGAAGAGCTGGGATACCCACGAGTGGCACGATCTTCAAGAAGTCCATTCAGCTTCATGGCTTCGCCGATGGCATCGACATCATGGTACGGAACTATGAGACGATGGCGGAAACGTACATCAGACTGAAGGCTGAAGCTAAGTGAATTGGACTTGCCATCAACGCATCAAAGACAAAATACATGAAAGGAAGAGTTTCTAGGGAAGAAAATGTTAGCCCGAGTTCAGATTGACGGTGACGAAATCGAGGTGGTCGATGAGTTCGTGTATTTGGGCTCACTGGTGACCGCCGAAAATGATACCAGCAGAGAAATTCAAAGACGCATTATGGCAGGGAATCGTGCCTACTTTGGACGCTCCGGTCGAATAAAATTCACCGCCGCACGAAGTTGACTGTCTACAAGACGCTGATTAGACCGGTGTTCTCTACGGCCACGAGACCTGGACTATGCTCGTGCAGGAGGCCTTGGTGTTTTCGAACGGAAGGTGTTGCGTACCATCTACGGTGGAGTGCAGATAGATGACGGAACGTATAGGAGGCGAATGAACCACGAATCGCACCAGCTGCTGGGAGAACCATCCATCGTCCACATTGCGAAAATTGGGAGACTACGGTGGCCTGGGCACGTCGTAAGAATGCTGCACGTGAAAATGTTTCTAGAAAGCGACCCAACAGGAACAAGAAGAAGAGGCAAGGTGGATCGACCAAGTAGAAGGCGACCTGTGTGGAGCCTTCGTAGACTACGAGGCTGGCGAAGTGTGGCCATGGATCGAGTAGAGTGGAGACGACTTCTTCGGACTGCAGAGGACAACAAGGCCTTAGCCTGATTGGTAAGGTAAGTAAGCTAGTGCTGCTGCCCATCGACGTCGATGACCGGCAAACGTCATCTTAACATAAATGTCAACATTGCTGTGAGCAAAACATTGTTTAAAATCGATCAAAACATGGGCTGCAAGCACGAGTTTTATTGGTGCGCAATAAAACAAGGTGTTACCACGCGAAAATTTTTTCACAATTTTCCTAATAGCGAATTCATTTACTATCGGGATTAACACCAGTTCCAACCCAGAGCGAAACTGAACTTTTTATCAGTGTGAACCTCAACCTGAGCTAGGTTTTAAAAACAAACGAACAAACTGACGTTTTTCAGAAAGCAAGCAGACCCAATCTTGATACCCGATCCAGGTTGGAACTGAATAATAAACGAATTTGCTATAAGGATGCCGAATTGCCCGAACTACAGGAGATTTTCTTCTCACGTGGAGTCCAAGCGCTTGCGAAAATTTTATGTTCCGACCAGTTCCTCCCGGAGGATTTTCGAATTCCTGAAAGTACGGATGCAGAATTCAAATCTTATCACATTTTCTGAATTTAAATGAGGGCTTATTGGAGTTCACACCCTCACTGAATCATTTGAAGATACGCCGCCAGTGAATCAAAAAAATGTTTTGCTCCTGACTACTATGTCCAGTTAAAATTGGAACGAAACACGGTTAACCCTACGTTACTCGCGCTGTTGTACTTTGTACAACACACATGAGTTTTCCATTGTCATTTTGTTGCTGAGTTACCAATCGATCTGAAACCAACGAGTATTCCTCAAAAAACTTGTTTTGATCTAAACAAGCTAAGCTTTGATTACAGTAAACACCTAAAAAATGCGGATAATAGGAAAATGTAAATGGAAACCGCGTAAACTGTGACCATTCTACTTGGGATTTGACTTAATTGATTACAACATGGAATATATCGAGATCCTGACCAGACATAAAGTTACTGTCTCCGACAAAGTTGTTCAGGAGATCATAGCCTTGTCGCTGGCGGACAGTAGTTCAGAATTTTCTCACTACGTAGCGCTAGTATACATGTGAAATTCTCGCATGTGATATATCTCAAGATCCTGACCAGATAGAAGCTTACTGTCTTTCACAAAGTTTTGACGTAGGATTACGTCTTTCGGCAACATATTGGGGGTGCAATTTCAAAAAACCAAAATCGACCGCATTACGAAAAGAGGTCAGGTTTTCACCGCATATAACTCTGTCAATAGCAGATGGATTTTAATTCTAAACAAGCCAATCAATTGGAAATTTATCTACCAATCTGCTAATTTGTAATAGGTCACTATTGAAAAATACACAAATGTCCAACTGTTCTGATCAAATGGTGATTAAATTACCATCTTAGCCTGCAAACAGCGCATTCCCTAACACAGATTTAAAAATCGAATTCGATCCTGTCTCACTGAACGGTGCTCATTCAATCACCGTGTGTGGTGGTGTCCGGTCGTCGGTGTCAGCAGTAGCAGCATCAGCAGCAGCAGTGCTTTCAGCGTGTGGCGTGAGCATTGTTCTCCAGGACAAAACGAAGGGCAGCCTGCAAGCAGCGAGCCCACATGAGGATCCATAGAAGGAGGAAGAACCCGCACCGCTATGGATCGAAATCAGTTTCTTTGTGAGTCGCTGTATGCAAAGCGCGTCACCAAACAACATACAACTCGTCAGCCTCATCCGCGTTGAACACCCTAATAGCTCAGCATTACTCAACCATCACGACAAAACGGTCCTTTTCAGGACCACCATAAATTTTTGTTGTTTTAGAGTTCATTTTCATTGAACATTCGCTCGCCTTTCTGCCAGCCACATCACCCCCAAAGCTCTTTGATAATGTAACCAGCAACCAAACGTTTGTCGTCAAATGCGTAACAGTATTGAAGTGGTACATAAAAATTCTCGCAATGACCGAATACCACATGACCATGTCAATTAACCAGAGACACTTCGTAAGGTTTTCTCCAGGACGCTAGAAAAAGCAAATAAAATCTAGATTTATATGATTGATCGCGATTGGGAAAATTTGAGCAAGAAATTCCTCCAATCAATATTCGCTTTTTTTATTATCTATTGAATAAAACAAAAATTCCGTGCGTTTTGTGCACGTAAATGCGTAATTTTGTTATAAGAAAACGAGACGTTTCCATGATGGGAAAAGTGGTTTCCCTAACACAGTCACCGAATATTGATACCAAGCACTGAGCATGCCAGACGGTGCCGATCTTTATGCCTTTTGGTGCAAATTTTAAGCCCCTCCTATTAAGAGCATTATGCCAAAAAATAACCTTGCAAAATTCTCTTAATAGAAGGGGCTTTAAAATTGCATCAAAAGTATAAACGTAGGTACCGTCCGGTAGGCTCATATTCTGTGATTGATGTGTTTCCCTTAATAAGGGAAATGGCTCTAATGTTGGCCTATGGATCTAAGATTGGGCCCATCGCTAAAAATCTGCTATTTTCAATTGTATCTAGATGAACGCGTCATTTGGACGGTACTAATGGATATTTTTGGTCGCCATTGAAAAATTCGTCAATTGCTATATGGGCCCAAATTAGGAACATTTAGGCCGACATTAAATCCATTTCCCCTACATATTTAATTTCCGCACCGCTATCATTTCCTAAATTGTTCTTAACTAGCTTCCAATCCCTCGGTCCTTTTCAGGACCACAAATTACTACTAAAGAGTAAACTAAAGAGTAAGAGCTTGAATCCAAGACATATCGTCCAGGATTGGCTTGTACTACATGAACATCGAGAGAGCACCTCACAAACATAACTCTCAAATTGCTTCCGAATTTCAACCTAAGGGAAATGTAAGTAATGTCGGCCTACATGTCCCTAATTTGGGCCCATCGCTAAAAGTCTGCTATTTATCAATTTTATCTAGATGAACGCGTCATTGGGACGGTGCTAATGGATATTTTTGATCGCTATTGAAAATTTAGTCAATTGCTGAATTTATGTATGGGCTCAAATTAGGGACATGTAGGCCGACATTACCTACATTTCCCCTATCTTAATTTTTCACTGATAACGAATTAAGAAATCAATGTAATATTTACTATACTTTTGCTATGCCATCATAAATACCTTTCGTAATCCTGCGTCAAATCTACGGTCGTGTCTTGGATACAACCTCTTACTTTTTTAGGAGGTCAAAGTCTATTCCCTGGTGCTCAATAGTTCAGAATTTGCTCACTACGCGACGCTAGTATACACGTGAAATTCTCATATAAAATATCACGAGTTCCCAACCAGATAGAAAGGTACTGTATTCGGCATAGTTGTTCAGGAGGTCAAGGCTTTTTCGCAGGTGGACAGGAGTTCAGAGTTTTCTCGCTTTACGGCGCTACTCTCAACCAGCGAAAAGGTTGTGATCTCCTCAACAACTTTGCCCAAGACAGTAACTTTCTATCTGGTCAGGATCTCGAGATTTTCCATGTTGTAACCAATTAAGTCAAATCCCACGTAGTACGGACACCGTTTACGCAGTTTCGATTCACATTTTCTTTATTATCCACATTTTTTGGGAGTTAACTGTGATAAAAGTTTAGCTTGTTTAGTTAAAAACAAGTTTTTAAGTTAGTTAGTTTCAAGTTAGTTTCATATCGATTGGTAGCTCCGATGCAAAATGGCAATGGAAATCTCTCTCTGTTGTACAAAGTACAACGTGCGAGTATTTACTCGTGTTACAAAAGTTGGCGCGAGTAACGGAGGGTTAAAGATCTACAGAAAACTGTAAAAGAGCTTCGTTTTTTATTCTAAAATAATGGTTCCGCAGAAACAACAAGTATGATTCAAACTTGGATGTGTGATTGTTTTCTCAAGTGTTTCTGTTGCGTATAAAGTAGTAATGATTGAAAATCGGAGCAATCACAACCAAGTGAGAATCTTGCTATCGCAATATATTGTCGCGCTAATGTTAAATCCTCATTTGGTGACGGTCGAAGCGCGGTGCTCATAAGCGCGATGCAACCCCGCCCATAAGGATTATACACAGGTGTGTAACTTTGATAGTATTTTATGGCAGCGGCTTGAGGAGGGAATCCTGGATAAAGAGCCGCCGCGTGTTAAATCAATGGGCGCAGTTGTACGGCCATAAACAGAAAACAGATGGTATAATCCCTTTTTGAGAAATAATGATGATGCCATCGAGGATGATATCGATACCTGTTAGTTATTAAGCCTTGGTGGTGAAGTTGGCGGGGAACGTCCAACAGTTTGAATGTGCACTCACCAGATAGCACTGTGATCACATAATGGTGATGTATCATTGCCTTGTTCAAAGAACTGATTAGTGGGATATCTTGTTAATTAGATATCTTTGCTTTGATTCAACAAGAATGTGAGTTTGAACGTCAACAGGAATGGGTAGCATATATTAATGATACATCTAACGTTGCTTAAATAAATGTTTCTGTCTTTGAGCATGAGCATGATTATGATTGACCTACCCACGGTTGCTACTCTGTTATTGCCAGATCAGCTGTAATTACATAGAGAACCAATAGACGATGCTTGGGACAAGCAATCATCCTCAATGTGTAAAAACTGGTGATCTCAAACTAGGCAATACCAGCGCCGGCCGTGCCCGAACGCAGGTCAAAAATGGAATGGGTAGGAATGTGTTGACGTAACACTCGCTTTGATGGAAGCGGAGAAATCCTCTGCACTTCCACTGGGATGTTGAGTAGGGTTTACAGCAAGGTTCGTTTTGGTAAACGATAAACTGAATTGATGTAAACGATGAACTGAATATGGAGAGTTTACTGTAAAAATAAATAAAAAGGAATGATCTCACCCAAATAACCAGGTGAAGTTGCACCAACGCAACAGGCCTCCTCGTAGACTTTCTTCAACCCATCGCAGGTATCTCCTTCCTCCTTACGTGATAATTATAATTTTAAACAGTTTGATTGACATCAACACGAACCTGTCAGGGCTCTTAAATAAATTTCTCTGCCATTTTTCATTCAAGAATAAAACAAAATCATTTGACTCTAAATGTTTTTTTTTTTTATTATTATTTTTTCAAACTCCAACCAGATTCGCCATCAATCAAATCAATGCCCATATTCAACTAGCTTTCTGGCACGATTTCGTGCATAGAAACAGTCTCCCACCAGCTTAAATCCAAGTTTCTCAAGCATTCCTTTGGACTGCACATTTCCCGTAACCACCGTTCCATAGCAATTCAGTCCAATCTCGGCCACTTCCTGGGCAATCACTTTAGTCACTATACTTCCATAACCCTTTCGATAGTGATCGCTCACAACCTCCAGTGGCCCGATAGCACCCGTCGGCCAACAGAAAGACCATGCCATAAGTTCACCGGTCTCGCTGAACAATCCAACTGACGGATTCCATGCGGCCAACCGTTTGAGAAAGTATTCCGATCCCTCGCACCGGTGCGGCCAAATTCGGTTGGCAGTGACTGCGTGGTTGATGTCTAGTTTTTTCACGTGAAGCCCCTCTGGGATGTTGAGTTCGAGTTTTAGGCATTCTTCTCTCGGTAGTTCGTACACCCCGCATGGATGGTCCCACAGCAATTCGATTGATAGAGTTTTGAAAGTTTCTTCAAATGCTAAACGTTGTGAACCAGGAATGCAAGCTATTTTATAACTATAGTCCCAATCGATGCGGAGAAGAGCACGCTTCAAAGATTCATTGGATGCTTCTACCGTATATGCATACATCTGGTATCGGTCCTGAAAAGTGCTTAAAAATTATAATAAGGAAAGTATTATTTGCAAAAGCAGTACCAACCAGTATGATGCAGGTTCCGTTGTCCCTCCAGCTATCGTCGTTCAAACCCAACACCTGGAGCTGTTTGATTCGTGGATCGATTTTGGTCCAGTTGATGTAGTTTTGGACAGTATTGTACGCAATCTGATGCCGAGGCCATTCTCGTTTGAAAACATCTCGCAGAGAAGGCCATTCCTGCGGAGGAATGGCCTTGAGTGTTTCGTTAAGGACCATAGTAACAAACCGACCGACCAATCTGTGTATTTGATGCGTAATGTGAGCTTCTTAATAGATGCATACAGCGGTGAATGCTCCCCGACACAAAAAGCTTTGGTATGATAAGATAACAAAAGTCGTTCGAGTGCGTCGATTTGGGGCGTTAAATTGCTAGTTGAATTGAGCGTCATACATCATTCATGACAAGCGTGGTTGGATCAGGGTGAGTAGAGTCTTCAATGACCGTATTCAGCCAATTTCTTAGCTCGTGTTTGTGCGACACAGTAGGAACCAATTGGCACAAACCCGAGTTTTTTGAACAGCAAGTTAGAAATCAAATTCTTACAGTGTACGCTTGCATAGCAGTTCATTCCCACCTTGGCCATTTCTTTGGCAATCGCTTTCACTACGATGGAACCGTAACCCTTCCGAAGGTGTTCTTTGGCAACCTGCAAAGCGGCGATAGCCCCGGTTGACCAGCACATGCACCACGCTAGCAGTTCATCGGATGCGTTGAACAGCCCTGTCGATGGATTCCATGCGGCAAGGCGTCTTAGCGTGTATTCCGATCCTTCACACCGATTGAACCAGACATCGTTGGCTATGGAAGCATGCTTGGGCTCCAGCTTCTTCAGGTGAAGTCCATCTGGTAAAACAAGCTCCAGATTGAGAGACTCTTCCTTGGTCATTTTGTACAGAACGGTTTGATTGTACAACTGTAGCTCGATTGCAAACAACTGGATCACTTCATCCAACGCTGGCTGACAGGATTCGTGAACTTGACTTATTCGGTAGCTGTAGTCCCAATCAAGCAGCCGAAGAGCTCGTCGCAACGAATCCATCGACTCTTCCAGGGTGTGAAAAAACATGTAGTATCGGTCCTGGCAAAAAACATATTATTTTTTGGCATTTAAATGTGCCATTTAGAACCAATGCTACTTACGATGATTATGTACGTTCCGTTCTCTCGCCAACTGTCGTTCAAACTCAGAACCTCCAGCTGCTTGATTCGAGGATCAATTTTCACCCACTTGATATAGTTCTGTATTGTATTATACGGCACCTCATTACGAGGCCAACCACTCTTGAACATATCTCTCAGCTCAGGCCACTGCTCCGGAGTGATGGAATGAAGCGTGTCGCGGGTACGTGACATTGTGTCGATGCGTCTGACGTTGTTGAAACCTCGCAGCAAACTAAAATACCTATATGAAGTTGAAAGCGGATCAGCATTGCATTGAGTTAAGGCGAAAGTACATCAGATTAGAGTGACTAACTTAATTGATTTTATAAAAAAAAAAATAACGCAATGCTGAAAAATTCATTCGTGGAAAATTTGACAACTAAATTTGCTATCGGTAGGAATTTTAAGAGGTTTGATATATTTTCTAAATTTTACGGTGACCAATTTCAATTGTTCAAATTTGATGTGTAAATTATAGAGGTTTTCAACTTTGCTCATAAATATCACAAGTATAAAAGTGTAAGAAATATTTCCTCCGAAAACAATACCATAATTTCTAACGTAAACAATTTTTTTATTGCACCCTAAAATGTTATTTGTAATCAACTAGTAGGGGAAATGGCTCTAATGTTGGCTTATGGATCTAACATTGGGTCCATCGCTAAACATCTAATCGCTAAATTACAATTTCTGCATGTACCTAATTTGTATAAATTTCTTTCTTTTCGATGAATTGTATGCCCGAAATTCAGCTGCAGGATAGTTTGTACGGATCAGCACATAAAAAATTCCGTACTTTTTGTGTAAATTTTTTTATTAAATAAATTACCTGAAAAAGCTTTTTCCTGTATAATGTACGTGTAAATAATAAATTGATACCAAATGGGTTAAACCATAACTAACTAAATTAAAAATATTAAAAGCATCCCAACTTTTGTAAAAATAAGTTAAATTACAGGAACACAATCATGCAAGTTTCGAGTTCATTCCTTTTGATTACAAATATAGATAAATCTTGGTTTTGTTAGTTAGTTCTAAAATTAAAGAAATTGTGCTGGATAAAAGCCTTAATACTTTTTTTTTTCACTTCAAATATCAGAAGCATGACATTCAAAATCCGGTATCTTAAAAACTTGATGAAATTGAATTATAACCTGATTATTCACAAATGTGGCAATGTCAAGATTTTTCAAAATTTTAGATGCCTAATTTTTCCTTACTTTCTTATTTCGAACAATTTTTCTCTCGAGAAATGCTGTGAATCTCAGAATCTAGGTTAGTTTCCTTAGATCCTGAATTACGAATTTTGAAGATCAGGAGATTAAATACTTGTCCAAGCCTATGATATCAATTTTTTTTTTAAATCCATTAAATTTATTTTGAACAAAATTTCGTCCACATTTTTTTAGAAGGCACATTTATTTTGTGAAGTTTTATTTAAACTTTTGATTAGACCAAACATTTACTTAGTATTAAAATTCTGATTTGTTTTTAATATTTATGCACTAGAATTTTGATGAAATAACTGTCCAGGTAGGATATTGCGATTTTATCTTAGTCTTATAATTGATCTAAATTCGTTGACTTTTATTAACATTTGTATTCGAAGAATTTATGCTTAAAATCTGTATCAGAGATATCCTATTTTATTAGTTACAAAATTTTGAAAACATATGGACTTGGGATCACAAAACTATTTTTATTTTAACATTAAAAATGTTAAGAATTGTGCATCTGCAGCATATGCATGTACGTAATTAGTGGATTTTTTAGTGATTTTGACGCTTTTTAACAATGCTTGACGTTTCCCATTTTTCAAATAATTTCTTGTTGAAAATCAACAGCATTGCTATCAATGCGTAGAAATATTTCTGATCGATTGGTGGTAAAATGATTGAAATTGGTCCAGGAGCAGCTGAGTTATTAACGTTCAAAATCTTTCATAATTTCGTTACATGTTCCATTTTCAGTTTTCACAAAGTGTACCCCCATATACAAATCACCGACGTAGTCCTACGTCAAAAAATTGTGCATCTTGAACATTTTCCTACGTTCTAAAGGTATTAAATTTATTCTATGTGCACTTTACCTTGAAACAGCCACAATTTTATAAAATTATAAAATTCAAACTCCTAGAATTTAATTTTGGTTCCTATGTCTGAGATTTGACTAATGGTGATACATTCAAATAAAAAATAAAAACTAGTTACAAAATTCATGAAATTACATAACCCTGAGAATTTTCTTAAGTTTAAGATGCTTACATTTACAAGTTCCGAACTGTAATTTTATTACAAAAAACATTAACAAACGATCATTGCTTGTTCAAAATCAGTAATCGTTTAAGGCTCTTCCAATCGAGGTCCCAACCGTTTTTATGGAATAAATATAATCAAATTTATTGTTTCACCATTAAAATAATAGTAAGCCTAATGTTGGCCTATGGATCTAACATTGGGCCCATCGCTAAAAATCTACTATTAATCCATTTTATCTAGATGAACGCGGCATTGGGTCGGTACTAATGGATATTTTTGGCCGCTATTGAAAATTTAGTCGATTGCTGCATTTATGCATGGGCCCAAATAAGGGACATTTAGGCCGATATTACCTGCATTTCCCCTATTATGTGCTTTGAATCGTCACCACGTGGAAGAACAGTGTGATATGAAACAGCCGCACAAAGCAGAGAATCGAAAAAAATAAACTCGACCCCGCATAGATGAATGGATTTGCAAGAACAACCATCAGCACCGAGAACATGATCAAACTTACGCGTGACACTTTTCGTTTGCTCTATTTGATGAACTTTGTTAATATCGTTTGATTTTTCAGTGGGAATATTCTGCGAAAATTTTCAATAGTTGAATATGAAAATAATAATTCTTCGACATTGCCAACTTCTTACCGACGCCAGGGAGGCAGCTTCCACACCAGGGCCCTACCTACCCGAGCAAAGCAAAATAACAACCTGATATCATCCTGAAAACAGTTATTCCAGATTTTAGCTTGTTTTCAGTTGTTATCACATAACTTAACATAACCTCGATTTATTTTGTTATCAGTTATTATCATGAAAGAAAATTAAATGAAGCAAAGGTTAGTTCAAAACTAACAATATTATCCGCATGGTAAGAATTAAAAACACTGCCAATCATATTTCATTTATCAGCGTGAGGCTGTTGTACCAAATCGATAAAATAAATATAAATTTGTTGAAAAAATTGGCGTGGATCACAAAATTTGTTATCAAGATGTTTTCTATGATAACTAAATCAGTTATTTTTGTACTACCCAAGGAGTATTTTTTTGTTATAATATTTGTTATGTTGGCTGTTTATTCAATAACAATGATAACATGTTCGGTTATCAAATCTTGATAACCGGGTATCACAACTTGTTATCAATCTGGTATAATCCATTACTCGGGTATCGACCCATCAACTCATGGACTGGGGATAGGAAAACGCTTGATAAATAAATATTTGCTATGTGAAATAATTTAAAAATCATATTGAACCGCAATCTTCACGAGCTGTGCACGCTATTTTGAGTCTAGCCAGAGACTGAGTAGATTCCACTAATTCTTGCGTCAAGTGTGGAGTTGTCAAAATTTGTGTAATTATCTTTTGTTCTGATGATTATAAGCTAATGGTAAATGGATATATTATGAATTTTACAAAATACCAAATAACCAAAGAAAAAAATATCTTTTGTGCAGTGTGAAAATCAAACATATAGATGTGATACAGCTAAAAACAGCAACTACGGAACTTTTTGAATGGTGGCATACATGACAATAGCCAAATATTCCTCTAAATTCCAGTGCAGTTTTTGACCAGTATTCAGTACAGTTTTGGACCACCGGCCAAGCCAGCAACTTATTATTCATCGATATTGATTTTGGATACTTACAAGTCATCGATGAAGGAGTCAGCAGCTAACCCTTATGATGAGTTTTATTAATATATTTATAAATATATATTACTTACTTACTTAACGATCCTGTGCACCTCAAGGGGTACAAAGGGCCTTTGTGAAAGATTTCCATCCTGGGCGATTACTAGCTTTGGCCTTGACCTGTGCCCAAGTCAAATTTTGGTAAACGTTATTAATTTCACTGTTTAGGCTCCGCCGCCACGAGCCTCTGGGTCTGCCTCTGCTGCGATGTCCTGCTGGATTCCAGTCCAGTGCTTGCTTGCAGATTTCGTTTCCGCTCCGTCGTAGTGTGTGGCCAACCCACCTCCACTTCCGTTCACGAATTTCTGTCGCTATCGGCTTCTGATGGCACAAACGTTGAAGCTCGAAATTTGAGATCCAATTGTGGGGCCACCAGGCACGAATTATGTACCGCAGGCATCGGTTGATAAACACCAGCAGCTTCTGAGTGTTCTCCGCTGATACACACCATGTTTCACTGGCGTATAACAGCACAGACTTCACGTTCGAGTTAAAAATTCGGATTTTGGTGCGTCGACTGATCTGATTCGCTCTCCATACATTTCGCAAACTGGCAAAATCAGCCCTCACCTTCTTAATCCGTGCACCTATGTCGCTCTTGGTGCCGCCGTCCGATGCTATCTGGCTGCCAAGATATTGGAAGCTTTCGACTTTCTCCACTGCCTGTCCATCTACCGTGAAATTGGAACGGTTTTCCGTGTTGACATCCAACGATTTGATCTTGTTCACGTTGATGGTTAGACCTGCTTCAGAAGAGCGTTCCACAAGGTCGTCGAGCTTACTCTGCATGTCAGAGCGCCGTTATGCTAATAACGCAACATCATCAGCCAAGTCGAAGTCGTTGAGATGCTCCATAGCAATAGGCTGCCACAGCAACCCACGGATCGGTACACGGTCAACGGCTCCAACCATGATCTCATCGATTCCGATGAGGAACAGTAGCGGTGATAATATACATCCTTGCCTCACATCCGCGATAACCCGAATCGGGTCAGACAAAGCTCCGTTGTGCAACACTCTGCATGAGAAAGCCTCGTACTGCGCTTCGATGAGGTTGAAGATCTTATCAGGGACTCCCTTGCGTATCAGAGCGCCCTACAAGTTTTCGTGGTTTAGTCGGTCGAAAGCTTTTCGTAGTCAATGAATACCAAGTGCAGGGACTCTTGGAACTCATTAACCTGCTCCAAGATGATGCGGAGCGTGACAATATGGTCCACACAGGATCTTCTAGC